TAATATTTTCAAACCCTTTCTAGCTTCATGTTGTGCAATAGAAATATCATAATTGAAAATTCCTTTTTATGCTTGGATTTGATTGGGCAGCTTTAAGCACACTTTTATGTTATTTCGATTACTCCTTTCTTCATCTTTGTGTCAATTTAAGCTTTTCTTTGATAGGCAATTTATAGATAAATGTTATGTTTTTCAATGACTTTGCTTGGTTTTTTTTGTGTACTTGTGGTTTATGCTTTGGTCTTTGCGCATTGGTTATTCTACACATTTGCGGTGCAACGCCGACATGAATTTTTTTCTATTTTGATACAAAAACTTTATTTCAATAATTGTTTTTGGTTGTTTATATAAAAAAAATTCTTCTAACAGGGTGCAAAAGAAAACTTTGAGGTGGCATTGGAGGTTGATAACTTGGACACCCATGCGAGGTACTAGCTAGGCAGGATGCATTTCAAGTATGATGTTCCCGAGGCTTGCAAACTCATGCGGATAATTAATTTCTACTAAGTACATTCTCATTATCTAACAAAGTCAATATTTGCTTTTGTTGGATGGAATTGTAGTATTACACAAGGATGAGTCTTTTTTTGGGGAGGTGGGGAGGGGTGTGTGGGGCAGCAAGGGCGATAGCTCCCACAAGAGACCCTTCACATATCTTAGTTGTAAGAAGTACACCTTACAAGAATTATAATAGGCCTACTAGACATGAGTTTTAGTTGGAGGATATTTATTTATTAAAAAGTTCCTTAAGCACTAGAAATTCTCTTTATGTTTCCTTAAAAACTAGAAAGAAACAAATTAGAAAAATTATGGTTTTCTTCTTATTCTTTGGGTGCAAGAACAGTTTAGTGGATTAAGGTGGGTGACTATTGTAAGCTCTATACTTTGTTCTATGACATTTGATTCTATTTTTTAATCTATTACTTATTAACTTTGAAATTAATATTAAAATTTATATATCAACAAATTTGTGTATAACTTATTAGCTTTTCAATTATTTTTTCTTAACTAATTAATTTCTGAATGGATTGCTCTAAAAGAATGGTTACTCTTGAATATGTGCATAAATCCCGAAATCCAATAATCCAAAGTCTGACATTCAGATGGTGCATATTTAATGCCATGGATTCGGGTGCATTTGATACTTTCCCCTCCATCCTGCCATAACGCCTCGAAGGATGTTTAGAAGTATGTCTGATAAGTAATGAATTTTAAAACACTTAGTCATAAAGTAATTTTAAGAATCCAAATATTTATTTTTAGAGTAATCCTAAAAATCCAGTAGAATTTTAATTTAATTTATAGAGAAAATCAGACAAAATAAGAGAAATTCGTGATAATATTTCGGACAATTTGTGTAATTGATTTTATTTTTGTGGATCTCATAGAATTATTTTGTATAGGAGTACTTAATTTTTATACAGAAAGATATTGAAAATTTTTGCATGATGGAATCTTGTGTTCTATTAATATTTTAATTTAAAGAGGAATACACATAAACTACGAATCCCTACTTATAAAAATCAGTAAATGCGAAATATTGAAGCAATACATGGCAAAAAAAATTTTGAGCAATTCATCAACTTTTTCAAGAGGAAGACTAATCTATCAACTTTAAATATAAGTTGACATGTGTACAATTTTGCATATATGCTTTTATGTAGAAGGCTTTCAACATGAGTTTTTTTTCTTTAATTTGTATATCTAAATATATGATCATGAGATATTTTTCGATTATGAATAGTTATAATTTGATTAGAATTACTAAATATTTGATCGTTAGAGTTTTCCTAATTATGAATAGTTTTATTTGATGAGGATTCTTAATTATATAATGACAAGATTATGTGTCCACATGTCATATGTTGATACGATCGAGGGACATCGCTTTTATTTATATTGACACGTTTTGGCTTTTTTGTCCATTTAGACAACACTTATCGATTTTTCCCCCTTTACGAATTCAACAATTTCTCATTGTATAAAAAGAACATTTATCGCTGGCTATTATAACTGACTTCAGGTTTAGAAGCCTAAAGTATAACAAGGATTCATGTTTGGATGTAAAGTCAGCAACCAAATAGTAAAAAGATTTTAACTTTCCCTATTTGACAAAGTAGCTTGTTCTCTCTCTCTCTCTCTCTTTTTTATCCGCCTTCCAACTTATTTTGTTTACTTGTAGATCTTATAAATTCTCAATGCTCCAAACATGTATCTAATTCACATATAAGTGAACAGAAAAACAATCAAACGAGCATACTAATAGAAGGAAAATACAATTTTTTATAGATCATTAAAGAGAGTAAAAAATTGCAAAATAAAGAAGATTTTTTAGTGTACAAACAATTAAACGAAAAAAAAAACTTGATAAGAAAAAAAACGACAATATCCCGATTTTAGAGTAAATGAAAAGAGAATTCAACAACAAAAAATTTACTGACTTGAAGCACAATCACTACAAAAGAGAGGAGATAAAAGTGAATAGAAGGATAAAAGATTAGATTTTTACATGGAAGGTAGATGAATTTCGAACCCCAGATCTTAGATTTTGCTTTTCTTCTGAATCGCCCTCACTGCGTGTGCTAGATCGCCACCGCCAGTGGTAGATCTCTATCGCCAATCTCTAGGGTTATTACATAGTACTCCCATATTAAATCTTCAGTGATTTGAAATTCAATTCATAGAAATTGCTCTTATTATATTGGGCTTTGTTAGGTTAATTGCATACTATTCCCTTATATCATTCATACCTGCAAATTAGTCCCTCAAATCTAAATATTTGCTTATTATTAGTACCTCAAATCTGCTGTCTTGTTACAATTTTGTTCATCTAATAGAAATTTTGTTAGTTTCCCTAACTCTACTTGGAGAAATGCTAGCTACAGTCGCCCAAAGCCACTGCCCAAGCCTACTCGCGTTTTTATACGGTCATGTTGCGCGCTTTTCTCGTTGAATACGGATCAATAGTAATCAAAGTAAATATTTAGAGGTTTTCCATATTAATCACCCATATCTTGTAGATTTTGAATTTAGTTCCCCATATCTTCCTATTTTGGAGGTAGTTCCCACTATATGTACGTAAGTGTTTTGAAATTAGCCACCCAAATTTTTATATTTTGAGATTAGTCCCCTAAACTTTTAAATGTCTTAAAATTAGACCCTCTAGTTAGCACCAGCTTGAAAGATATGGGAGACTAATTACAAAGTACTTAGCATATTTAGGAGAATAACTTCAAAATATGGTGATTTTGGAGACTAATTTCAAAACACTTAAAGATTTGGAGAACTAAATTCAAAACGCTTAAGATTTGATGGATTAATTTCAAAATATGAAAGACTTGGGACCTAATGTCAGAAAAAGCATTTATTATTTCAAACCTGCTTTAAGTGTTCTATTCATTTAAGCATATTTAAACATTTATAACCTATTATAAGTGTTCTTTTATGGTACATTACTTGTATAGGGGAATATATAATAAAGGCTGATCAAAAAATATGCATGTGAAAATTTTAGGTTTGATCTTTTTTGAGATAGCCCCTTTTAAGTTTAAAAATTTCATTTACTCCCCTTATGTTGAGATAACCCCTCTTAAGTTTAAAATTTTCATTTAATCTCCATTATGTTTTCTCAGATGACTCTAAACTAACATCATTAGATTTGACTGCGCGTGTGAAAAATATGTGATTCTAAATAAGTAAATATCCTAATAGAAATAGCCATTTCATGGCCTTTTTAATAAATTATAAAGCTAATTTTCACAAAACTCCTTAAGTTAGCGTTAATAATTTAATTATTGACTAAATGATTTAATTACATAGTTATAGTGTTAAATTGCAATATGAATTGTGATATTTTCCAATTCATCTAACACCACGATAGGAATAGTTGAAAATTGAAAATACTTGAGGAGTTTTTTGAAATAACCCAAACTTAAGGGTGTTCTAATGACATTTTAAACTTTAGGGGATATCTAAAACCCACCATACTTAAAGGGGCTTTCATTTTTTCGAAACAACCCAAGCTTAAAGGGGTTCTAGTGACGTTTAAACTTAAGGGGTTTTAATGACATTTTAAACTTTAGGAGTATCCAACAAAGGCTGAAAATAAAGGTTTTCTACGACGTTTTTAAAGTTATAGGGGATTATCTCATAAAATGGCAGACTTAAAGATGTTTTGTGAATTTTATCTAATATATATATAATTAAATTTAGCTAAAGCAAATAAAGAGAACAAATGGGTTGCATAAGAACACTACTGCCAATGGGCAGCCGCTCTGAGCAACTGCTCCTAACATTTCACCTCTAGCTGAGTTAATTTTTAACTAACATCTATAATTACTTAATTGCTCCTATATATGTTCCCTCTCAATAGGGCTAGAGCCAGGTAGGTGCCCAAGGGCCGTGGCCCACCCTTAAAAAGTGAAGTTTCATACTAGAATCACAACATTCACTCTTTCCGACTCAATTTCTTCTCCACTTTGAAATATTTTTCCCACATGGAACAAGTGAAGATTTTACAAGTGCCAAAGTTCAAATATTCACGGAGATAACAATGCAAATTACTATTGTAGCTTTATGCTACTATGCAATTCGTATGATGTTAAGATTATCTCAAAATTCATCAAATCTCCATTATACAAAAAATAAATTAAATAATATCACAAAATTCATCCTTTTCTAGTCAAATTCTTCCAGTATGGAACTAATATCACAATACTCATCCTTTTCAAGTCAAATTCCTCTCCACTTGGCATATCTCTAACATGAAATAAGTGAAAAAAAAAAATTCAAATTACATAATAAAAACCTTAAGTTCAAATCTCTAGTAAAACAAAATTGCATATTATACCAAACATTTATGCTACTATTCATCTCGCATAGTGTTAAGATTATCTCAAAATTCGTCAACACTCTAATGAAATCTACGAAATTACGATGATATCTTGTATCAATAAACCCTCATGACAAGCAAAAGTGGAGTAAAGCGGAGATCCCGATACCTGTGCGAGACTGAGTAAGGTGTGGTCCCGGATCCGATAACGGGGGAAAGAGGAATCGGAGATCCGGTGGCGGCCGAGAACGGAGGAGAGGGGAATCGGAGATCTGGTGGAGGAAGAGAGGAGTGGATCCGATAACCCGCGAAGGAGCGACAAAGTGAGGTCGAGGAGGAGAATTTTACCGGCGAACGGGAGAGAAATTGTAATTTATTTGTAAGAGGAGTTTCATCGTCGTGGGGATCTGGAGATTTTTTGGGCCCGATTCGGTGATTTATTGCGTTCAAGATCTAACCCGACCTACATCCGGGTTAGGATCCATCTCAATTTTTTTAAACTAAGTTCCCCAAATTTCATTAATTTTGAATTACCTCGCCAAATTTATAAATCTACTTCTTTATTATCAAAGGAGAACAACAAAAAGCTATGAACAATAACATAAGGTTCTAAACAATGAAAAATAAGGTTCTAAACAATGAAAAGAAAAAAATAAGAACTCATGTTTCAACACATCCATGTACTTCCACGTTCTCTCACACGTTCTCCTAAGCCCATTTCCCAAACTTCTCACGTTCTATCCTTCCTTTGATCTTAACCTTGCCCCCCCCCCTTCCGCTCTCGCGATCTCTCTCCCTCCCCACTTCCGCTCTTAACCGGCGGTGGCGACGACTACGACGACGAGATCTCTCTCCGCCGCCATCTCTAACGGCGACGACCTCTCCCCCTTCATTCGCCGCTTCTTCACCCAGTTCAAGTCTGAGGCCCTCCTCCACAACCTCAGCCTCTTCGCCCGAGCCAAGGAGTCCGAGATCGAGTCCGTCTGCAAAGCTCACTACCAGGACTTCATTTGCGCCTTCGACGACCTCCTCTCCCTCCTCTCCCTCCTCTCCAAGGCTGAAACCCTAAAAAGCTAGATCTCTGACTCCAACTACACTATCTCGTTCGCCGACGACCCGCTCCTGGCAGTGCTCGACTCCTACCTCGAAGCATCGGCGGTCTCGGTGAACCTAGGGCAGATCGCGATCGGACCTCGGCGAGTAGGAATCTAGCAGACATGAATTTCTCTGATTGGTTATAATTTCTAAACCTAGGGTTTCAACCTGGCCTCTTTATAACTATATTTTTGACATTTAGTATGGAATTGTGGTATCTAGATCAATCTTTCAGTCTGAATTGATTCTGGTGTTAATTGTTATGTTTAATTTTGCAGTTTTTTAAAGGATTTGTGTCACGCCCCGAAACTGCAGCGGAATATCATAAAATACGGGGTACGCGACAGCAGCGACCTGTGCACGAGACAAGTCTTATGCACAAGTCAAGCCTGGCAGTTCATATCACATAGTTTATTTTCAAAACTATTCATAAACCTGCTGATGATAGAAATCAGAGCAACTATATATATATGATCGGTACTTACAGCCCACAAGCTCACCGTTATAAGTATTTACAAAACAAACAAAATATGCTGAAGATAACATCAAAAATGAAGAGGCTCATCCATATCACGCCTCTC